TAGACAAACCAATGATAAAGCTTTATTCAAAAATGTGAATGAAGCAAAACACAACTTCAGGTCTGTTTTTGATGAGGTAACAACATTCTAACATGGCTTACCTAAAGTAACCTTTACCTTAAAGTAAAGATTGCACAATTGTTTGTAGTTTATTTCAGTTTGTGTCATCATTTTAATGTTTATTATGCCTCCAAATTAGCATCAGCATTGAGATGCAAATATCTCCCTTTCTAAGCACAAAAGTGTGAAGTATTATCTTGAAATTTTATTGATTTATTATCATTTCTTATTTATTAATTTTAGCATGAAAAAACAAAAAAAAAAAAAACAATTGGACAGGGAATAGTGATGCTAACAGGGAGTATGATTTTTTTTAAATAATGCTGGTTTATGGTAATCTGATTCTTCAGCCAGTATCACTTCGTGGAAACCGTCTGACCTCGCAGCATTACGATTTGTTCACTCAATGGTAGACGGGTACTTTTTTTTATTTATTTAATCAATTACTGCTATTTGGTCGTGGCATATGTAATGCATCAAATCCCTTGGGAAGAAGAACAATAACGTCTTTCCCCGTGATAAAATTCACCAAACATTCTCTGAGTTCCGGCTTTAAATCCTCGATCTTGGGAATCGCTGCCAACACAGAATGTCTGTCTTCGTCTACATCCATCTCGACCCCCAGCCTGGCTAGGTTTATGGTACATTTTTCTGTAATTAATGGGCCTATTCACATGAAATGAAACATCTTTAAGAAGTTATTATGATTGTTTTTTTTCTATTGAGGAAAAAAAGTAGTGTTGTTATAAATTTCCCATAGAGTTATAAAGGCTCTTGCCTCCATCTGAAATTATGATATCATATTCTGCTGCTAATGCGCACTTCCTGATTATCACAGGCTTTATAATTAGATTCAGACTTATTTTTAGAGATGCACCCATCTGGCTTTTTCAGTTTTGATACTTACTCCAATACTACAGATTTTAATATGCGACTTTTAAATTCTAAATCAGATGCAAGATCAAGATTCAACATTTTCACATTTGTTTTATTTGGTTACTTCTTAAAAAACAAAACATGAATCTCCCATAGAGTTATAAAGGCCTCTGTCCTCCATCTGAAACTATAACATCATATTTTAAAGCTAACGCGCACTTCCTGATTGATGTACCGCAGACTTATTTTGACCTCGAGAGCTGTTTATACAATATATCTGTACTGGGGCAAATTTGGAAGAAAGAAATTAGGTACAGGGCCTTTAAAAAAACTTCTTTTAACACACATTTCTAGTTATTACAAAAGCTGGTGCAAGAGTCACCAATCTGCGAGACTTCACTACGTCTTCATTTCCTCTCAGTGTGTAATACCGGCACACACCCGCACTGACGGAGCAGCCAATTCCGAAGTAGCTCCTTTTACCATTTTTTATTTGCAATAACTGTCACCAGCAGAGCCTCGGCCTCCTTATCTGATTTTTATGAACATACTTGGAGGGATTATTGAGATTTGTGAACGCGCTGGTGTAACAATGGAGGACAAAGCGTTCATAAGGCTGCCATGGCGATGAAAAATGAACTTACACCGTCCCATAGCATGTAATGAGGGTGTAGTACTAGTAGTGTTTTTTGTATTGGGCTTAGAATTGAATGTAAACTAGCATTAAGCTTTTTTTGTTTTTTTTTGTCTGCATTTGTGTCTAGTGCCCCCTCCTGGTGACAGTGAGAAGTAAAACAGCAGATGGTGATTTCGTATTGAAGGCAGATTCAAGGTGACATTATGTTCTGCAGCTCAACCCTACAATTATTCAGTTGCAAGTGGTTTTATATAATCAATGTAAATGTCTGTCAATAGAATAATGTTTGAACTAAAACTAACTTTGCATCGTCACATGTTGAGGGACTATTTTCTCAGCAGCATCGGAATTTTACTTTGTCCATAAGATACGTGCTAGGTGATGTCAGTCTTCTGCTGCCGAGATTTCTGTCAGAAAGTACAACTCGCCTAGTTGCTTCTGTCCAGCAACTAGCTCAGGAATCAGAATACACTAGACCGTTCGCAAAAACCACAGAAGTGCGAGTTCGGGCACCAGCCAATCAACGAAGAGCCATATATTCAGTGTTGGCAAAGATTCCCAAGATTGTGGATTTAAAGCCAGAACAAAGAGAATGTTTGGTGAATTTTATCAAAGGGAAAGGCGTTATTGCCCTTCATCGTACGGGATTTGGGAAAAGTTTAATATACCAGTTAGCCCTGTTAGCGGGGTTACATACGTCACAACCAAATAGAAGCGATTGGTTAAATAAAAAAAAAGTATGAACATTTTAAGACCAAATTGACGAGGCTCACAGCAGCAGTTACAGAGAGAGGGGTGACGATTTTTCAGTAAAAAGTGAATTGGATGGACAGGTCTCTCTCTTCTGTCACATTCTTAAAGGGCCCATGTCATGCAAAATAACTCTTTTCACATTGTATCTTCTGCACATAAACAAGCACAGTTTGGGTTTTGGAACATCCATTACACAATAGCTCTGAAATCTTACTGATTTCTTGGAGACAGTCACAGACCAGGAACTGTGAAAGTCCGGCTATTGCTCCTCCCCTCACTCGTCCTGAGAAAGCACAGGCTCCGCCCTCCAAACCTGACGTAGGCGACAAGTGAGCCGCCCTTCCTCCGCCCATCTCAGGGAGGGAGGGGGAGACAGACGTGCACCCTGATAGTGGTAGGAATAAACTTTTATTCATCATGGTTCAGCCGCATGTGTTGGACCCAGAATCGGACGAGGACTTTGCACGAAGCTCAAGCACCGCGTCCACATCAACTGAACATTACTGATTGGTAAAGTATTAATAAACACTAGTAGATCAACTTATTATATTGTGGACACTGCAGTGTAGAACAATGAGCTTATGCTGTCGCTTTTGTTCAGGTGTTCATGTGGGAACTGTCAGACGATGCGGGGTGGAGGAGGGGAGGGGATGGTGGAGCGGTGGACGTCAAATGTGTCATCGTTGTAACAGCTTTAGTTCGTTGTCACGTGGGAGGGTGGCAGAAATATGCTGCAATTTGTTAAAAAAGATGCCGAATCAATGTAAAAACCACTTTGGCGACATATACAAGGCCCACACATCACTCTTAGAAGGTAGAAAGCTCTGAAAAGTTGATTTTGCATGATATGGGCCCTTTAAAATATATCCACTGTACTTAGAAGTTCTGTATTTATATATGCATGCTCATTTTACTGTCAGTAGCATAAAGGCAGGCCTAGATATATGTGTTGTCTCTTGTGACTGACAGATGTGAAGCTTAGCGTGTGAAGAGGAGCGTCCTGATCAATAAACTTCTAATCAAGCATCTCTTCACCTGAGTGTGGAGTCATTTCTTAATATTTTTTTATTCATTTATCATCAACAACCATCTCCCAATATCACCAAACTTTGTAGAAACCGCCCAAAAGTCGATTTTCCGTAACACCTCTAGCTAATCTTAAACTACTTTTCTGCCTACCTCCACAAACTGGTCAATTTTGCATAATGTCACCTTTGAGAACGCTAACTCTCCCATTAACTACGTCTTTTTGCAGATGCAGCAGAACTGTATCGTGAGTTTGGTAATGATGACCAGATTGGGGGTTAAGAGGCGTGCAGGTGCCAGGCAGAGGATTGTGGCTGGGGGGGGGGAAGGCCGGAGGGACCCCTGCTCTGGTGAGGTGGCGCCACAGCCTCAGCCTGTCAGAACGGCCGGGTGGTAGAGCTCGCCATCTGCCCACCGAGCGCCGAGTCACCCTCCACGGAGCCCGGAGAGTGGAGGGGCACAAGGCACGGGCAGTGGAGACTATGGATTTCTACTGTTTTGTTTGAGTGAGAGTTATAAAATCAACTAAAAATGATTGTTACTGTTCAGCTGATGGTAGACGTGGAGTATTTTTCAAAAATCAAGCTCAATAAATTTTCAGAAGAACCAAATACTACAAAAACGTGAAGTGTTATAGAGTCAATTCAAGACATTTACAAAGTACATTTCCGATCAGTGTCAGTGAAAGATATTGACCGTAACCATTTTAAACTTAATTTGTAAGAGGCCAGATTCATACAGTATGTGTGAATGGTACACATAATTAGCAGAAGGTTCAGAAGAATTTAACTGGTCGAAGCCAGAACTGAAGAGCAAACAAAAAGCTCAAACATTTTTATGTCCAGTTGAGATAAAAGTACAGACATCTTTCCTACTAAAATATGCCCAAGTATAAAGATCGGTGTCTTGCCTAGAAACATAAGGACAGAGGCGGAGCTACCATTAGGCAAAAGTAGGCGGCTGTCTAGGGCCCCCAAACCTGAAGGGGCCCCCAACTAAGGCCTCAGAGCAATTTGATTTTCTCTCAGTAGTTTACTTTTAAATAATAATCATGAGAAAAATGTAATGGATGTAAACAAAAATGTAATTGTACTAGCAAAAAATAAAACTACTTTCAATTTTGATCATGCTAATAAGACAAGTTTCCAATCCACCATAATTAAAATAAATACAGATGTGCATGTCTCAAGAGCAATGGGGAAAAACAGACAATAAATATATTAAAAAAACAAAACAAAACAGAAAAATGGTGCATTATAGTGAGGGCCCCAAACTCAAGTTCACCTAGGGCCCCCAAATTGTTAACTCCACCACTGCATATGGAAGCGAGACAAGATGGATTGTTTTGAGTTAATGAACTCACAAAGATGGCATGAATTAATCTTGCCATACTTTAAAATAGACTTTTAAAACACTAGAGACTGAAATTTGTGAAATGGAATGTTAGAACAATCAGAATGGCTTTAGAGAAGGTGAAGAGACTTAAAAACACAGACGAGATCACGGCTCAATGACTTCAAGAGATGAAGACGAGAGACTAAATATGCCTGATTCTTTAAACATGCGCATGAAACTACCAGTGCAGCTTCAATTAAAGTAACTTTTGACCTTTTAATATAAATTTAGGGGAAAATGATGTCACACTCACCACCTCTCTGGGCAGCAGGGGGTCCTCTGGGCGGGTGACTAACAAGTTGACGATGCCACCCATGGGAGTCGCTCGGAGCAGGGCCACCACCTCCTCTTGGCTTTTCCCATTCAGGTCCACGCCACTCACCTACACATGCAAAATACCTGTGGTTTAGTTGACCAATATGCACAAATATTCAATCAAAAATAGAAAAAAAATATATATATAGTAAACGACAAAAAGCACACAGACACACGCCGCTACTCAAAATGATTCAATCTGTAGTTACCTCTAGCAAGCGGTCCCCAGCTTTGAGTCGTCCATCTTGAATGGCCGCTCCTCTGGGAAGGATGTTCTTGACGAAGATGGGAGCGCTGCCCCCTATAGGAACATCTCTGGAGGTGATGCTGAAGCCCAGACCCTCCTGACCTGAACACAACAAATCACAGCAAAGAACATTTAACAACTTAGCAACTGTAAAGACCCATCCAACCCTGTACAAAATGGCTTCCTGACAGTAGACTTTTTTCTAATAAATTGTGACAAGTGAGGACACAAACACAATAAAAATGAATTCTCTGAGTCATTGTCATTTTGTAAGGCAGGTTTTGGGCACAGTGACAGTAGAGGGACACCCCAAACCTACATATTTAAAGTGGAACTAAATACTACATCAACTTTTCTCGCTTACTTTTCTTGCTCCTGTCTTATATTACTAAGATATTTTTTGGCAATTTTAGAGCTTGGTAAATTTGCAGCTTTGTGTTCAAAAACAGCAAAAACTGAGCTGCTGCATTTTCAAGAACATCACACAGGATTAAAAATATCTGATTGGAGGGGGCAGAGTTTGAACAGGGATGTTGTATTGGCTCCCCAAGCCTCTTTGAAAACTTTACAAAAGCTTTAGATTGACAAAGGAAACAAACATTTATTTTTTAGTATTGAATCATCCACTACCTGTTTTTTTTTTTGTGTATATTTGAGCATATGTCTAGCCACAATATTATTAGTAGTACATTCTAGAGGTCACCATAAGCAAAGCTGGGACCAAGTAGTTGTTTTGCAAGTCTTATGTCTCATGCCTTTGACCTGAAGTCCAATTCAAGTCCCAAGTCAAATACGGGCAAGTTCAATTTGAGTCTCGAGTCACTGGCCCATAAGTCCAAGTCAAGTCCAAGTCGTCTGCTTTGAGCTTCAAGTCATTTCAAGTCTTTAAACCAAAGTACCAAATAGATAGATTTTTGCAGCTGATATGAATTTTAAACTAAATTGGACTTTAAAATCATGGTATATTTATATGAGAGTATTTATATAAAAATAGTAGAAATGCACATTTTTTCCCCTTTTCAAATGTCTTGTCAGGATCTTAGTGTGAATCATTACAGTCATAGCAGCAAATCTTCTCAAATCACAGGGCTCAAGTCCAAGTCGAGTCCCAAGTCTTAGTTTGTTATATCAAGTCAAGTCTCAAGTCCTAAGTCCTAAAAATAGTGACTCAAGTCTGACTCGAGTCCAAGTCACGATTTGTAAGCCTCCACCTCTGACCATAAGTCTGCTGTGTACTGTGCATCTAATTATAGTGTTTTATGGTTTGATCAGGAAGTCATCAGTTGTGAAAAGTGCTTATAAACTCGCAGTTACCAATTACCATATCTGGAATACACAGAGTAAGGAAGGAATTAAGTGAGTAAAAATTAGGTATAGGCCCTTGAAACTAACACTCTTTCTCACGTCAACAGCTGTAGGAATGACTCACTGAGCTGGAAACCACTCACATTTTATTAGTGTACACAGTCGGGTACACTGTTTTTTCTAATGGAGAGTAGACTAACCTCTTAGACCAGTCACATATGTCCAGAATCCTGCCCCTCATCCCCCTCACTCTCCCTTTAGTCCTCCAGGTACTGCCAACTTTAACAGCTCTATTTGTGGGCGAACTTTACGTACGTGTTTACTCCCACTTTAACCATCACAGGGGCTTTTTATTTAGATTTAAGAGCAAAACTTTATGTCAAAATGATGTACCATCCATGTTTGTACCCATTACTGTGCCATGAAAGTACATTTTTGATTTCGATATTAATACAAGTTCTTATACCAGTTCTGATAAGCTCAAAACTATTGTCAAGCAGCTCATGAAAGGTACTAGATTTTCTGGCTAATGTGTTTTTCTTTTACTTCAAATGAAAACCCAAGTACCCATAAGTCAACAAAAGATAAAATATGGTCAGTAACTTTGCTCAAAATGACAAAACCACTCTGGAAGAATTAACTCTGAGCACACAGACCTCCACGCAGGCCCTGTACTTTCTGCTTTTTGCTCTGTGCCTCTATCCAAACACACGCAGCGGTTTAACGTCAGGGTGTGCCTCCGCCATCTTGACAACCACTGGCCCCAGACTCTGAAAATAGACTGATTTTTATGAACCAAAATGGAGCCTTCGTGATTGGTGCCTATGGACTGTGAAGCCGCTCGTGTAAGAGGCTGTAGGATTAAAGGCTGGTTATTTCCAGGAATAAACCTACACAGAGGGCTGACTATGGAGCGGTGAATGCATTAAAACTGTGGTCAACTGCGTGGGTCAGGAAATATACTGCATAATGTTCTAGGTCAGTAACATTTGCATAGAAAGTACTCATTTAAAAAGTTGCGGGATTTGAGTTTTGACAAAGGAAACAATAGTGAATAGAGCAAAAAACCTCAATTAACTTCAAGGTGCACTGTGTAACTTTTCTGGTGGAGGGTCAGCTATCTGCTTGTCTCCATGGAGATGTTGTTGCTTTGTTTGGAATGTCCCGATATGGCATTAAACCCATCCATTTTGCATTTACTCAATAACGTGAGTTTTTATTGACTTAAAAACGTACATTGTTACTGTGAGTGGGTTCATCTTTCCACAGATCTGACAGGTAACTTGGCCTTATGGCGTCGCCTGCTGTCTCCGTAGAGATAAATAAGGCTACGTTCAGACTGCAGGGCTTAATGCTCAATTCCGATTTTTTTGTGAAATCCGATGTTTTTGCGAGGTCGTTCACATTTCCAATTAAATGCGACTTGTCTGTGACTCCAGTGTGAACGGTAAACGGCCCGAAAGTGTCCCCGTATGTGCACTGGAGACACGATGACGTCAACCGCAGCGAGCGTGCTCTGTGTTTACTGAAGTTGTCCAAATATGGTCGCGAGCATTGAGCACCTGCCGATTTTACAGTTCCGGTTTCCGCCTGCTTCAGCGCAGAATAGTGACGTTTGTGGCTTGTTGATAACGTGTAGGTCGGATGAATGCGCTTTGGCCGTTCAGACTGAAGTCACATGTCAAAAGATCAGATATGTATCAGTTTCAGGACCACATATCCAAGTGGCCTGGGTCGCATTTGAAAAAATCGGATCTGTGCCGTTTAGATTTAAAAGATCGGATACAGGTCACATAGAAGCCAAAAAATCGGATTTGGGTCACTTCAGGCTGCAGTCTGAACGCAGCCTATGTGTAATGCCATCCCGTGGAACATTCCAGGTAACATCTCCAAGAAGAGAAGCTGGTGATGGTCCCTTCACCAGAAAAGTTACACAGTGCATGGGTAATGGATTTTATTTGGCTGCACTTTTAAAGTACTTCGTCAAGTATTTTAGTCTTAAAAAATGGGAACTTATTTCAGGTAGCTATCTTGACATTTTAAAGGTACTTTATTTAGCCTGTGCTCTTATAGCTTTAAAAAAAGGTGGTACAATCACAACTGAACTGTGTCTCCAGAGCCTTAACCTGCAGATAGAGGACACATCCATTTTTCTCTCAGTATATGGACAGGTCAAGCCTCATATGAAAGTTCAGAATCTCCAGAATTCCCTTCCTGAGCTGCAGAGGCTGCACTAGCACTGACTCAGGATTGGTTTTAGGTAGAGACCATTCAGATCAGAGAGAGACATATTACGTTTAAATTTGCTTGAATTCAACAAGTGATTTGTAAGTGATTTAAGAATAAACCAGCGTAACAATTGAACTGAACATGTCTGCCTTGTATCTGAGGGCACAGAGAGGTCAATTTTATGGAATTTAAAATAAAAAAATCGTGCACACAGTTCCTTTAAAGAAGTTTACGTTCCACCAATCACCTCTCTGCATGTTTTTCTTCTTCCTACTCTCTTTTGAACATGTTTAAATTATGACTTTTTGTATACCATATTTTTATGACTAGATATATGACCGTGTAATAAGCATCTAATCAAATCAAATCTACAATTCTTAAGTATATTATGAATGCAGTTTGAGAAATTTGAGGATCAAACAGTGTCTGATTAAGGTGTGTAAACTTTGAAAACACAAAGGAGCTTACATTAGATTAAAACTAGATGTAAAATGTTTTGAAAGCTGAAAAGAGAGATGAAATAATATAGAATGTTAATATAAATCTGCAAAGAAATGAAAAAAAATCATCTAGGGAAGTTTTGGATGAAGATACTTCGGCAAAGAAACATTTATTGTGAAAAAAGTGTACCGCAATATTCCGAAATGAAATCACATGTGGTTGTATGTCTAAGTGATTCGCATTGGATTTGAGTAGTGACCTTTAGTACTGCACTAATGAATATGAATGACCAGTCTAACACAAATATACAATTACAAGCCCAAACACACAAGAGCATCTCAGAGCTGCCCTTTCCTCCCAAACACAACGCTTTTGTCAAATGTCACACGGAGCATGTGGCAAATTCTGAAATATGACTTTGTTAAGATTTCATTTAAATCAATATTGGTCGATGCAATAATACAGGCCCAATGGTGCAAAAACATTATATCTGCCGTTATATGTATTTTATTCACAGTATTAATCTTGATTCAAGTTCTTGTCAGGGTTCACTTTAAATGCAAAAAGAGTGTGTTTTTGTCATATTAAAGGGTACGTCAAATGCTTCTCCATGGAGATGTTATTGCTCTGTCTGAAATAGCTCACAGTAAGACGCTAAACACATTTATTTTACATTTATTCAATTACAGGTGGTTTTATAGCTCAAAAATACTGAGATTAACAGGCCTTCTGACTGTGAGCGGGGCCGTCTCTGACCTGTAATCTGGTTTGGTCTCCGTGAAGATAGAAAGGTTTAATGCCATACTGTGAAACATTCCAGACAAAGCGATAACATCTCCATGAAGGAAAGCATTTGACAAATCCTCCACCAGAAAAGTTACACCTTTAATTGTTTACAGATTGTTTAATTCTGGTTCAGTTCTTGCTTCACGTTAGTTTAGACGTGGTTTAATTACTGTTTTCTTGTGGAGGTCGGCCATCTGCTTATCTCCATGGAGATGTTATTGGAGATGGTATTAAACTTATCTGCCCTCCATTTATTGAACAGCAGGAGTTTTTTTATTGCTAGAATCATTCATTTTGAGAAGAGATCTGATCTGAAACTTGCCCTGATGACTTCACCTTCA